AGAGTAAATTACACTCTTTCCTTGAGAAATACAAAATATTACATTGTCCTTCTCTCTTATATTTGAAAATTACAATCATCTCCCTCGACAGATTACAATATATGTTATTCATATAAAAAAATACTAAATCGATAAATAAATAATCAAAATATAGTCTCCAAAATGAGATAAAGAGTCTCATATAACAATCCCTCAAAAGAAAACTTCATAATAAGATGAAAATACATGTCTAAGTATAAGTCTCCGATGTCACATGTCCTATCAAAGCAATCTCAAAACAAGGTTAAAGTCTCGTAACTAGCCTCATCAATATCTTGAGGAACATCACTTGCAACAATATACATAAAAACAACACATATATAAAGGGAGTGAAAAACTTCTCACTCTAGCTTATGGCATGAAACAAACGATGGATAACCAAACACACTCCATGTAACATTCATAATAATGACATTAATGGTAGGCATATAATCAACACTATGATGACACAATAACTTGTTCGCAACACATCATATCACTAATCTCACGAATCAAATACAATCACATACAAATATAAGATGCAATAGAAATGAACTTTAATTTGCATGCATGTGACGCCATTTACAAAAATAAGCACAATGCATATATAATGATTTGTTGATTTACAAATTTGTGAGCATATGATGCATGTTACACAAACTTTCTATCATATCATGAATCACTAGACATATTCAACAATTTGTCACACATGATTTCTCATGCACAAATTAAATGTCTCATTCAATCAATGTATCAAGAACATCCATGTTTATTTCACTCTCATCAAGCATTATAATTACTCAACCAATCCACTTCAATTCAAGTAAAAGAAAAAATTCATAGATGGGGTGGTGCTTGACGAAAATCAACCCGCACTAATGTAGCTTGTTCAGAGAGTACGTACTCATAGCTCTTGGGATAGTTCATACCTAGCGTTATTTGCATCACGCCCGATGAGATAAATAGGGAGTTCATTGGAACTCCTACGCTTGACAAGACTTAAGTCATGCTTGACGTGAGTGGCATGGAAGCCCTCAACCTTAATAATGCTCAATGATACATGACTCACGTCCAATGCAAGCGGAATAGGGAGCACACTCTACTCTTTGGTGTAATAGTGCCCAACACAACACATATGACGTTTGATGCCATCGTAGAAAACCCAATTTTGTAGGAACACAAAGCATACAACTTACAAGCCAAAACTTACATATAACAATTCAATGGGTAAAAACAGTCTAAAATACTCATACAACACATCTATAAAGCACAAATTTCATACAATTATATATTTTTATTAATTACTCACATAATAACTATTGACCACATGCTTTTAGAGTTTGCCTAAGAGCCCATAAACAATTCAATTCATACTAAAAGGGTCTCAGCACACGAAATTAACCATAAATAATGACAATTTATAACAATTCAAGAGTAGGAATCATGAGGAAGATAACAAATGAGAACAAAAAACAATTGGGATTTTTTCCTTTCAAACAATGTACAACCTCACTACCCATTAATTAGCTCTCGTTTTAGAGCGAGAATTCTCACTCTCCCCTTTACATTGTTCAGTAAAAAGCAAAGGATGTGCTCACCAAGTTGATCTCCTCCTTTATCTTTTCCTCTTGGTTTTTCGGAGCATAAAATGAAAAATGAAAAATGAAAGTGTTAAGAAGAAATTGATGTATCTTTTTATTAATTTTTTTTTAAAAAAATCAACCCTCTTTAACTCAATCAACAGTTACATACCTCTAACCAATGTTATATTTTTCCTAAAATAATCTTAATGATAACAATAATAATAATAACATAGTAATAAAACATTACAATATACTTGCTTATAATTAATTGAACAATTATCAAAATACTTCATTTAATAATTAAATGCTCCACAAAATCGGTCCATTATTATTTTTAAAATAAACATTATAAATAATTAATTTTGAAAATGAGGAATGTTACATGATACATTATCCATTTTTAAAAATTTTCATTAAAGTTCCTTTAGCTAACGTTAAAAAAAAAGTTATTACTAAGACACCATTTACATTGATATCCCCTCAAATGTATAAACATTAGAATTTAGGTTTTAGGGTTTATAAATATTACACTATCCTCCCTTCTTGTTTTATACTAAAGATTTTTCTCTCTTTACAAAATCAAACATATTACACTTTAACACTCTATCTCTTGATTTACTTATTTAATTATTATTTTAAAAATCATTATAAATTTTGCTAATATTTACTATATATACCTTAAAAAATATTTTTCATTATTATCTTTACAAAATATTTTTAAAATTATATATTAAAATACAAATAATATATATACATATATATATATATACATACATATATATATAAGTATAATAAAATCAAATACAAGTATTAAGATATCATTTAATTAATAAAATTAATGTAATATTTTTATAAGTATTTAAAAAAAATAATATTTTTATTA